TTGTTGTAACTATTACTGCATTATTGCATTGTTATTGTTATCAACAGTTTCATCACCACCGCTACCTCCACCTCTCCATCACTGTTACTACCATCATTATCATCACCACAATCACCAACACTACCGCTACCACTACCACCACCACAACTACAACTACAACTACCACATTTACTATCAGTACCACTACCACAATTACCACCACTACCACAACTACTACTACTACCACCACTACCACTACCACAATTACCACCACCAAAGCATCACCATCATACCATCACCATACCAAGACCCATCCTAATTGCACAAGGAATCTAAACTCACCTCAGTTGACTGCAACTATTAACATCCTCCCTCCACTTCCAGCCTCGCCATCCACGGACCTCAGTACGCCCCTGGGGACGAGCCCACAGGAGGAAGCAGAACAGACCAGCATCGCCCCCAGCAGGAGAAAACGTTCAGTGTTCCACCTCTTCAACATGATGACCTGTGCCACAGACTGCAACCCCTTAGACTACAAGGGTTATGGTTGTTACTGCGGTTTCCTTGGCTCTGGAGTTGTGGTGGATGGCATTGATAAGTAAGTGTCTCGTGGAATAGGGAGAAAAGATAGATATATGTAGTAATAATGGTTGTTTTCGGGACTGTTCCTGTGAGTGGTTTTAAAAGTAGGGAGTGATTCCAGTTTTGGTTGTTTGGTTGTTGAAAAGTGTGTAGGTGTGTTCTTAGGTATTATGAAGAATAAGACTTAGGGGTTAATTTTGTGTTCTCCTTTTTCCTGTTATGTTGTTCTTGTTCTTTTCATATAGTCTAGTTTGATATAAACAACAGAATAACTAATGGCTAAAGTAATATTTGGTGACTTTGCATATAGATAAAAACAAATGCATATCTGGAATTGATTTAATGATTTATATAGTTTTTCCAAATACCCTAAATGATATTGAGTATTTGATTCTTACATTGCTGGATGTTTCCCAATACCAGAAGTTTCATTAATATTACTTTATCATTTCTCAGTTCATATTCCTATTCCTCTCTCTCTCTCTCTTCAAGTTAACCCATTTTCATATTAAATGACATTACAGATGTTGCAAGGGTCATGATTGGTGCTATGAACATGCAAGTTGCAAAGGCATAGATCACTACTTTACTCCCTACAAGTGGAAATGCAACGGAGGATCACCTTACTGTGGTGAGTGAGCTGACGACCCTGATCTGCTGCTGGCCATTGACCAAAAACAGACCCTTTTGGGGAGACCAGAACAAAGGCTTATGGAAGACCATGTATATGCAGATTCCATTATATGTGTTTGACAAGATATTGATGTTTGTATTTTTTCACAGGTGTTTGACTCAAGGCATTTATGACAAGATTTTCCAGCATCCCTTACTTATGATTGTCCTGTCCCTTCTTTACCGATTTGCACCGCCTTTAAGCACTCTCTTTTGACATCTCTACTAACTGACAGGAAAGCCGCAAGAGCATCAGTTAAGACCTAGCTAGTTTAGCTAGCAATAACAAAAGACTTTTTCTTACAGGTTCAAAGCACAGTGGTCTACTTGACTTCTCCCTATCTGTCTCAATTTATATCATCCTTAGCTCCCTTCCTTTGAGAACAATGACCACATCAACAAACAAAATGACTCTGACTCTGAATCTGAACAGGTGCTGTGCCAGACATGACTGGTGTTACAATCAAGCTCGATGTCCCCTTATTCTCACGTACTTTGCCTCATACATCTGGACCTGTCATCGCCGGCAGCCCAGATGTGGTAAGGTGACTCACACTGTTTACTGAGACATGACTTGAGAGGTCCACTTCAAGATGAAAAGACATGCCTGTTATCTAGACGCCCCTTAAGAACAGGAATCAGTACTCAGTCTCTGTGAAGCAATGGCAGACTATGGTTATTGGGAAAGAAGTTGCCCTTACTGGCTTCAAGATGACTTCAGGATAGAATGATTTTGGAGATGACTTGAATTAGATCTCCAGTGACACCTTGACCATGGCCGTGACCTTCAAATGGGCTCAAGAGGCACAAGAAGCTCTCATGACTTCAAGGATTTCTTTCTCAGATATCCATAGAAATCCTACACGTGACCTGAGTTGACTCTTGACCAGATAAGTATACATTAGACGTGTATAGAAGGTGGTTGAGTCATTATGAGGATGATTTTCAGAACCTATGATTTTTTGCCATGAATCCAAGATGTGTAGAATCCATCCTTTATAGTATTTATATATCTATGATTTATATTATGAATGATAGGCTTTATAGAACATAATATTAACATAAGATTATGTGCTTTTGATGATATAAAGACTATAACAAATATTGATAATACAACACAGCAGATAGTTTCACTAATAATCTGTGTGATATTTTAATCAAAATTGCTTTTCTTTTTTGTGAAAGTTATCCTCACTGGCTCAAACAGTTCAGTGGGAGTTGGGCAGAGAAGCTATGGAAGGTTTTGATGGGTTCTATTAAAGTGCTTTTTCTGAAGACAACCATAACAACTACTGCTGAGGACTAGAATATAGCTTCTTGCTTTAGATACTGTACATGCTCAGTTGATGTGTTTTCTCTTTAAGTTTTTTGTAAAATGGCTTACAAAAGCTTGTTTGCATAGCATTCTTAATGCAATAAGCAAAAAATTCTCCAGCATGTAGAAATGTTTTTGAATAGTACATGCATATGCACATGTTACACATCCAGCTACTTTAAAAGACTTTTAATTTTCTAACACATGACTAATTTGCACCAATTGACTCTTCTTAATTCTGTATATAGTTAAGGCCTGTTGACTTTAAGAATAATAAAAGATCACAAAATCTTAGCAATTCCCACATACTTGTCTTTTTCACGCTTGCACTTAGCTGTGTGTTCTTCAGATTCTGTCTCTGTTATTCCCTCTCCTTGTTATTTTCTTTTACCAGAAAAGAAGAATCTTAAATGAAGAGTTGAAAACGTCTTATTTCTGGCTATACCCCACCAATTGGCTACATCTAATTTTGAATCATGTTGCCAATAGGTCCTATTGATATCACACCCCAAAATTACCAGAATTTTTGAACACATTTCTTTTGCCAGACATTAGGTTTGTTTTCAAAGACAGACTGCGTTGGACGTCAGGTAAGTAGAGACACTGGGTTTTCCTCCCACCATTGCTGACACGATATCTGCATGTAAGACCATTGGTTTCTACAGTTAAACTGTTGTAAAATATTCTTTCCCTTAACCAGTCAATGGTTTTCTTGTCGCTGAAAAGAAAGAGCTTTCCTTGAGTCTGTTATATATTGTTATAACTTATTCTGTACATTTATTTTATATTTCATTTCTACTAGGAGACCATATTTTTAAGCATCCATTTTCCACTTAATGATGTCAGGTCTTAGACCATTTAGGCCACTATCTGATTAACTCATGTAATGGCAAAATGTAGATTTTAGATTCAGAAAAAAAGTTTCCCTTTTTGTTTGATTTGGAATTTGTGTAGTTAAACAGTTTATATGAATAATGAAATCCTCACTTGAAGACTGAAGGAGAACTCTTCACACACGTCACTTGCATGCTTTTCTGTATAAAAATGGCTTTTTTTAATGATGATTTTTAATGATACCCTATAATTTTTTACTATAGAATTTCTGTCTTAGTTTTGATAAGATTAGCAAGAAAAAGATTTTCACTTAAAGTTCAGATTTTAAAAACCTGTATTGAATGCATTAAATTTATATTAGATATTAATTTTGTTTATTATAGATAGTTAGATATATGTATTTGGCTTTGTTTTTCAATTTCTCCTTTGTTTCCAGTGCCTACAAAAGGCCCACTTGGAGGACCTAACAGCTGCGGCCATCAGCTGTGCGAATGCGACCGAGAGTTTGTCGAATGCCTGAAGCAGTACCCTTGTCCCAGGGCCAAAGCCATGTGCATGACATCACCCTGGAGGTACTGGCAGAACCTCTTCATGGGCATGTCAAGTGGGATGGGAATGCACCACCCACCCCATGAGGAACATTCCCATGACCATCCCAATGAAACTATCTAAAATCCTGGAAGGAATGGATGGTTGGGGCACCCTTGCCAGAACTTACATTCATCAATTTCTTTCATATATATCTGTTTGTAGTATTTACCTCAGGTAGCACTAAACAATATTGTAAATCTTGTGTAATTTACATTTAAAGCAGGCTTTGATAAAGCATGTTCTGTATATTATCTGTATATAGAATGCATGAGCTGTATAGTCATTTGTAATGTTGACATAATCACCTTCTAAATTTACTTGTTACAAAGTTTGATTTTGAAAGGGAGTTCATTGTGGTTACTTTATATTATGGCCCATAGTAGTAGACAGAATACTGTTCTATTTTGAAATGTGTTGCTCCATAGATAATTAATAAATTAGTCAAATTGTTAATCTGATATTCCAGATTTTTTTCTATAATTTAAGGGTGTATTTAAGAGATGTATGTCATTCTGTATATATGACCATGAATAGGTATTAAGAAAGCTTGCTTTAGAGACTAACCATTCTATTTTCATTGTATATAGTAATTTGGATACTATTATAATACAGTAATGTACATACTTTGTGTGTGTATGCCTTTTGTGACAATCTCCTAATAAGTTTGCTGTAGTTTTATGTGATAATATGTTGTACTGATGTGTGTGTCTAAAATGTATGAAATACATATATATTTAGGATAATGTATATGTATCTGTATGAAAGATCATTTCATCTCCAACATTCTATCTTTCAGTATTATTGTATTCAACTAAATATTTTCTGCATTTTTTACCCCATTAATTCCTTAAATTTTGGATTTGCAGAAATACAATATTCTTCGGGAAAATGGGACGTGAGGCTACCATAGCTCTCCAGACACTTCTATAGTCAATGCCAGGCCAGGAGACTGACATTGTTCTCGACTCATACAAGATAACTCTCACTGTGATAAAAGACACAGTTGTGACAGCACAACAAGACTCCA